TTTATTCATATTGCCTCTATTGCATCTGAATTAGGTTCTTGTTTGAAGGTAGGTGTCTTTGAAATTGTACTATTCCAATGTATTACTAGTAACTTCAACAATAACCCTCGACAACAGTAAATTAAAGGAGAGATATGTGCTTCATATCATTCACTCATCAGTCTTATTCCCAGTTAAATTCCTCAGTGATTTTGAATTAGCGAATATACTAAGCCATGCAATATCTAATGAGTCAGTGTAACAGTATACATAACGAATCGAATGGCGCGTCCATGAAAGTGCTGACGAGAAATAGGCTACATTTTCGTAACACTAGAGGGTGGCAAAAAACTACAAAGGAAATATGAAACTGGAGGAACAGACTGTATTAAAGGATCACAGAGTGAGTCATTTAGACACGTGCTACAATGGAAACTAATAAGAGTGTTGTCACTCGCGCACAGAAATTTTCATTTGCCAACTGATTGATGGAAACAGGTGTGACGGGTGCTTTACGCGTGTAGGCTCCACCACACGTGTAATAGCCATAATCGTAACTAGATGTTGGTGTGAAGTGTCCTCTTCCCGGGAAGATCCTCCTACACAGCCGGTTATGTCATTGCAGTATGGTCAGTAGACACAGCTGTCTTGCGAATGAGTGTATATGCTATTCAAATAGAGATGCAACTGTCTTTTCACACTACAGAAATGTGCAGGAATAAACCATAGCCGATACCATGACATGTAAAATAAAATTAAAAAACAACACAATTTTGGAAAAGGTAGACTCTAAAGTAAGCTATTTAAATTTACATAAAAATTTCAAAAAGGTGTATTATTTGCAGAATCTGGTAATATTTTCATTGCAGCAGCAACTATTCCACTATTGTAACTATGCTTGATGTTACTGAAACATGGATGGTAATGTATGAATATTAAACAACAATTGCTATATAAAGTCCATATTCAGATACTGTAGTTCAAAATGCTAAAGCATTTTAGGTATTGAAGTAGAAGTGGTTTACACCTGCCATCCATGTGAATCCAGGCCTGTTTATTCTCAGCTGTTCATTCTCAACAGTTGCCTGCAGGATTAGATTACTGATGTTCCCCAGTTGGCTACACCCAGCACGTGATGTCTGTGACACCCTGTGTTTTTTTTCTTTTGTTAGCCTTGTGCTTCCAGGCTGTCTGCTAATGCATGGCTGTTTTAAGTGAGGGTAAACTTAGCAGATAGCTGTTTTCTATTTGGTGGAACAGAGAAGAGCATTCTTTGTTATTCTTGTATATTTGTAAAGTAAAGGCAATACTTGGAATAAAAATTATATTTCATGTACCGTTTAGACAATTAATTAATGGGTAGTAATATGTATTCTAGGTTTTTTTTTTCTCTTTTGAGGGGTCTGGCTATAAATAAAAAAACAATCACCACAAATAGCCATTGAAAATAGTCATGTTTAAGGATGACCTCAGTTTTTAAAACAATAAGAAAATGCAGCATGATCTGGGGCTGGAACATAAATTACTATTCTAAGCTGCAATATTGCGATAAAGTAACAATACAGTGCTCACTGAAAGTCTTGGGAGGCTTAATTTTGTAACAATGTTACAAATTTATTGGCTTCATAAGCCCATTGACAAGCAATGTGTAACATCTGCACATATCTTCCGCACAGACATTTTCTTCTTAAGTGTCAGTTTTTTTTTTTTTTTTGACTGTCTCATTCAGTTCTGTTCTTGCCATTTTTTTATTAATTGCAATTGTAGTCATTGGCTCCCAAATGGATACTAAACACAAATGTTAGGTGCTTTATGTTATTGCAATGGTGTTACTAATCAAAAAGCACCCAATGAGACTGCTTATCAATTAACTTTTTAACTTAGCACTTCAGTAACTCTAATTTGGATTTCAATTTATTACTTAAAACTACTGGTTGATTCTAATTCCATATATATTTTTGTAAAAAAAAAAACAAAAGAAACAAATAATGATTTCTGTTAAAAAAACAATAAATTAGCATTTTTTAACTGAATTAAGCAAGCATACTAAGACTTTCTGACAGCACTGTATTTGGATGATTTATTTCCTGGTTTATTCAACATATTCCATGAACCCATGTTCGGTAACCATTTATGCAATACAGGGCCACATATTGTGTGATATTAAATATAATATGATTCTGTAATTCATGCACTAATTTAATCTTTTGTAGAATGAATTAATCCATCACACATTTATGGATGGATAAACTGTGTCTGTTGCTTTGTGTTTTGTATTTGTTATATTGGCTGGAGTACTGCAAAATTACTCTCTGATGGAGAAAATCTCTTAGTTTTACAATGTCTTTAATGCAGCCCTTTGTATTCTTAAAGCATGTTTGGAGAAACAAGTGTTAGCAAAACATGCTAAGCAGCTGGCAATGTCTCCTACCAAAAGCACAACATTAGAAAATGTCAGTAGCAATACGCCATTTGGCCAACTATGTTGGACCAGTTGGTGATGTGTAATTCCTGCCCTGCCTTTTAAGACTCTTAAAAATCAGAATCCAATGTATGGCACGGATAGTTTGCCCTATATTTCACTCAGACAATGGCGTGCTGTTTTATTACTTCAGCATGACATATCTTACCAGTTCACACACAGGGCATGACGTATATAGTCCCTGGCAGCTACACATAGGTTTCCCAACTCATTTCCATTGTTTTCCGAACAGTTTTACTGAAACCTAATTTATATTTTTAGACTACAGGAATTCTAGCACTGCTTTTATAAAGTTTATGTTCATTATTTGACTTATACCCTCATTATTACAATATTTTATATTTGATGGATATCACATGCTTCATTGACTGATGGCAATAATCACTGAGATGTAAGATCAAGTAAGATCACTTGTGTACATTTTGGTGTGACATGCCCACACCCAGGGTGGGCTACTCTTTTATATACAGAAATGACATACATGCATACAAAAAGGTGAAGGCAAAGCAGCTGCTTCCCAGGTCCGATAGCTCTGTGAAACCCACATGAAGCATGTGCATGTTATACTCCCTCCTATTTATGCATGCTATTCTTAACAAAGATATCTGAAATTACATTACAATTTTGGTCATGCATAGGCGAAGCTCATTTGTACAGACCTCAATAACCATCCTGTAGCAGCTTGAGGTAATTTTCCATTTTACATGACTGTCTTATTGTACATATTTTGGGTAACCACCAGCTAAACAAAGGATTTATTGCTGGAGTTTTATAGTTGCTATGGGAGCAAGTGGTTTCATTTCTCTGAACAGCTAAACATTGTTGCTACCAGATGGGAGTAATATTTATAATGGTTGTGGATATTATCTGTATAAAAGTAATTGTATTATATAATGGTCCTTAAAGTGTATTCAGTATAATATTCAAAGTAATACTTTGTTTTATATGTGTGTGTGTGTGTGTAGATATAATATTGGTTTATCATCGGCACAAATAGTGTTATATCGTTTGAGCGACAAAAACATTGCAGGACTTATGTAATTCAGGAGCTACAGAATTTAAAGATAGGGGATCTTTACTTTATGACACATGCAGCCAAATTTAGGGAACCCGGACACGTTTCCTTTAAAAGGCTGCAACCATTCACATTTGTCAGTATTACTCATTTTGATAGCTCTCGTCATGCACTCCGAATTTCTAATGAGGACCGACGAGGACAATATGACTTCTTCCATCGCAGGATTTTTTGAAAAATGGAGGCAGTTTCCTTGGCAACTTGCATATTGATACAACTATTCAAATAAATATCTGCAGGAATACACAACTATTATGTTCTACATTCTTCCCCACTAGAAATATAGTGATGAAGTATATTTAAACTAAAATTTGCCAATAAGCTAACACGTGACGATACTTTTAAATGTCATTATAATGATTAGACATAGAAATGACGAATGACTAGTATAAGAAATTAAATTTTTTTTAAAAACCATATATATATATATAGAGGGAGAGAGAGAGAGTTTTAGAAATAATAATGTGATTTCACCGTCATATTTCCACGTACACGTGTATCCCTTTTTTATTGTCTTGTATCTTTCTTCGGGACAAGGGAATACCAACTCACCCCCCCCCCCACCCAATTTTACGTATGATTTTGCGTACAATTTCACGTATTCAAAGAGCTCTGCAAAGTACAGGGCCTCCTGAATCTGCCAGCGTATTCGTATTCATTCCCAAAAAAATGAAAAAGTGAAGTTTTGCTATGTATTTATTTGCCAACAAACAGTTTGAAACGCTAGTATAACTAAACATTGTGTTGAATGAGACATGCTGCAGTTTTCAAAAGAGTGAATGACTCAATCATGCCCACTGCATATCAGTGACATAATAATTAAGGTAAAACTGAATACATAGCAATCATTATATCATATTGTAGGCCTATGTGAAAAAATGGCTAAATAGAAAAAGTCTATAACAATGTCTTTGCATGCCACAATTTGTGTACTTAAACCCTGTTTGAAAAACACGTGTAATCATTTCACCGTGTCTTTTACCAAAAGTGTGATATTAGAAAACGTCATATACATAGTCATGTGTGAGAATTTTTTTCTTGTTTTAATGCCAATGTTCATTATTTATACTGTTAAAATTTACAACGTTGTTATAGTCACGTCTTCGTGTGATGTAATATCAAATATAAAAATTCTGCAGTTTGGAATAAATGAAGAAATGCTGTGTTGCATGTGGAACGTTGCAATGGTCGATTACCGTAATATAAGAAAGAAATGATAGAAACGACATGCATTTATATAAATACACACTAATACATACTTCATTTGTTAATTCACTGAATAATTCTGGTTTTTATTAAACGTATGAAGAAATATCTTTCCACGCATGTCACGGCTCTGTCATGTGGCTTACTGTGCGCTTTAAATTTTTGGACTAGAATATTACGGTAGCTACGTGCAGTAAGCCTGAACTCGGCGATGGATTTTTCTGGTCTGACAAACACCCAAACATTCCACGCGCAGGGCAGAGCGAGAGAGACATGTTAGAGTGAGAGACAGTTACAGCCTGAAGAACGGCGGGGAGTCGGGGACGTTTGTCCCTTTTCAACTTTGGAAAATGGGCTTTATTGCCCTTCCAGCCAAGAGTAAAGCTATTTTTATCAAAGCAAAAGTCGTTAGGTACACAACGAACTCGATTTGGTTCGAGTAGATGCATTTCTGCGAGAGTTATTCGGAGTTTGAAATGTGGGCGATGGTGGTTTTGACGAGCGCGAGGTCTCCCCTCCTGTCGTCCAGGACAAGATGGCAGCAGCGCAGGCAGACTGAGCATGCTATGGGTGCGTTATAACTCCATAACATGTCCGGAGAAGTCCTGGATTTTATCAGTTGTTACACTCTGTGAAGGTGAGTTTTCCATATTTTTAAAGATATAACTACGTAGTTGGCGGTGTCTCATTACAGGTAAGCGGCAAGTGCGCAGTATGCTTAGATCACACTGAACTAGCGATATGTCAATAAGCTCGGGCATTAAATGTAATATGTGAAGTTTTACTCCTTAAGTAGGTATGAAACTAAGACATACTTAATTGTGTGCTATCCGAAGTGGGAGGGGGGTTGGCTTGCTTTAAATAACTGTTGCCTTTAGCTCGTTAGAAAACAGGTTAACGGTTAGCCGTTTGTACCCACGTAGCGATGTCCAGCTGTCTTTCATATAATTTTCCAACAGAAGAGCCGTGCCCTGCTGCCAGTTCTTTACCAAATGCTACCAACACCTTAACCAGCGCTACGTAACTGCGTTGTCAACACAGGACTATTTTCGGCCAGGCTAAATGGCTAGCGAGCTACCATGCCCTTTTGTATCTACGCCCATCACGACGCCTTTGTTTACCGTTTACAAAAACAGTCAACGAAAGTAATCATTATTTTCCACAAGATTATGGTACACGTAAACTAGCTGGTTGTAGCCAGAGTTGATTTATCTGCCTGTTTTTCGTTTTAATTCTCTAGCCGCCGTGGCTGACACTGCGCTGTGTTCTGCTGTTTATTGCCGTCTCGCCCGGCCTCTACCCGCTTAACCATTCGGCCCTATCTCCCTGTCCTTACTCTTGTCGCACACGTCTTCGATTTGGCTACATTTTTGCCCACATTTTGTTAAAAGATAGCTTCCCTGTCGTCGTTTCAGCGTCGGAAGTCGGGATACGACTGCAAGTTACATTACAAGTAAGCATACTTGTATTAGAGCAGGACTCTCCTGTCACCTAGCTGGGCGCCTAGTCCTCCCAATATGCTGCTCCCACGTCCACAGTTGAAGCCAGTTCACTTTGGAGAGTCATTTGTGAAAATTTCTGCTTTACTACTTTATGCGACTGTACAGGAATGGGTTCCGTTAATATGTAGTACTTACGTACAGAAAGACACTAGAATTCTCGGGGAAAGTTTCTGGACTACTGATATTGTAGCTCAGATAAAATGTAGCAATTTTGAGGATTTCCGCTGTGCATTTTCTGTTTTTTACTGGATAAAAGTGACTGCTGTGAGCTTTGTTTCTGTACCATATAAGTCCAAGTGTGTATTATATATTGGAAATGGACATTACCCCTTCTCTTCTCTTGCATCTGTCACTTAAGCAGTCGCCACCAAATTCCACCCCTTGGCTAATACAGGAAATGCATTGGCTGCTACTGTTTCAGAAGAATGAACTTATTTATTGGCTATGGAAGTCAAATTGGAGTCACACGATGATGCGCCTGCCATCTGGGAATATAGCCCAAAGGCAGGGTCGCTTGTGTTTAATCAGTCTCTGGTTACTAGTTGAATAGTATGAGCTTGAAGTAATTTAGCATGTGGATAATTAAATGGCAGTTGTTTGTCTTAGCCCAGTTCATTGTAAGATGAGACCAGTTGAAACCCCCCACTTCCATTTCACCCATGTTCACCAGTTTTTGAGAATTGCAGAATGTTTTATGAAAGTAAAATATATGTTGGTTATCATATAAAAAATAATTTGCTGTTGGTGCTACATTGCAGTTTAATTTTACAATTTAATGCATAGCATAGACTTAGGGTGGGGGCAGCATTCTTTTAATGAAATTTACAGAGGATTTGAGTCACCATCTTCAGTTGAATAAAAAGTACTTTTAAACATAAAGGCACTAATATTCTGTAGCACAGTATGTACTGTAAGTTCTGTAGTCTTCTCCTATTGCCTCTTTTGAAACAATCTCTCTGAAGAGTCTTTACTTGACACCCAACCCTGTGTTCCTGAAAAGCAACTAGCAGGTCTATGGTGTAGATGGTTGTCTTTATCGGTAGCTTTTGAATTATGAGAATTGGACCTTTTAATGCAAGTCTTAGATTGTTCAGATTACTGCAAAATCTTTCTCACCTCGATATTTATGTAGAATGTTAGTTTTAGTATTTACCTCCTAAGAATGACAATTTGTATGTACCATTAAACATAAGGAAAATGTCACTTTATGATTGGGAAAAAATTGGCATATACATACACACTGATAACTGACTCAATCCTGTCTCCATGTGACTGGGACTTGCTTGATTGCATTGTACTGATTATGTGAACTTATCCCTAGCTTTCTAAGTATCTGGAACACTTGTGTAGTGTAATATCAGGCATCAAGGCCCATTATAGACCATTTTTTGCAATCCTAGAGTATTTGAGTCAGTTGACCAGCCTCATGGCTGAAAATTTAGTGTTTGCAGTGAATAAAGGGAGTGTGTCTTAGCACACACAATTAGCCACATCTGGAACTGGGAAGTGATTCATTTTACACTCTGCCATGGTGTAGGTCAATATCAGGTCAAGTAATCTTTAATGTTAAACACTAAAGTTAATATTAGCTTTCCTCTCTGGGGGTAGAAAGGTTATGCGGGATTTTTTGGTTTGGAATTCTTAACTCTGCTATTGTAATAATCTCAAGATGGAGCTCTTAAGATTTTTTTTTTGGCTTTTCCATTCTTAGGAATGCTGGGCAACTTGTAGTGACAAATAGGGGTGATTTATTCATGTAACCGAATCCCCTTTTGAAGGTTATATAAGACGCGTGACTTCTGAGTTATAGTCAGTTCTTTCTCATTTGTGAAATTCTCTGGTGCTTTTAGCTGTGCGTTCCTGATGACCTTCATTGGTGCTGCCCTGTGTTGTCGGTGCTACTCAGGTAGAGTCATCTTGTTTAGTGCAGGGCTGCTGGCAGCTGTGTCTTGCTGGTGATGACAGGCCTGTTCAGGTCCATTAATGCTTGCAGCATATGGTTGCCGCTGCTGCTTCATAAATTGAGATAATGCAGCTGGGTTCATCTGTCTGCCAGCAGTCACACTGTCCCAGCATGTTAAGATCCTAACCCTTCCGTATGCTTTCACCCATCATGCATTATTTTTCAGAATGCAAACATGCGGCCAGCAGACTACTTCCTGAACAGGAAATGTTTCATTTCCATTGCATAATAGAAGCTTCCCAGCTAATGTTTGGGGATCAGAAAGGGGTCCACCCATTCAGAATGGGTTTATGCTGTGATGCAGTTTACGGAAATCCCACTTTATCTGGCTTATCTCGGAGATGTAACACTCTTAAAAACAACAGTGGCAGAATCTACTGGCCTAAACAATCCACTGGATGTATTGATAATGCATTAAACCACTGGAATTTCTTTGGAGTTTGTGCAATTTGGAGTTACTTTCATAAACTACTGAAAAGAGAACTGAAAAGTGCAGTGAACTGCAACTAGCTGACTTTTTTTTGGAATAGTCCTATTCCACTCACTTCCTGTGTTTTTTTTCCCTGTTTACCACTGTGTAGTGATTAAAAATTTGCCATATACATAAGTAAATGTAATCTGATTTTAGCTGGCCTGTAAGAATGACTAGAATATTTTTCTGGGCCAGCAGAGGGTGGTAGATCTAGGTAAGTTGCTGTTTTTGTACTCGATGAATAAACCGCCAATTACACTGTTATTGAGTTAGTCAATTTAGCAAGATTTTGTGATCTGGTCACTTGAAAGTAATGTCAGGCTGGGTGACTGTTTCACTCAGTTTTAGCTTAAAGTGGCCATGCTGCTCCTCCAGAGATTTTTGTGTTTCTCAATACACTAGAATAGGCCTAAAACACCCTTTAACCACTAGCCATCAAGGCACATAAATAAAGTGTGTAACCCAGTATTAATGGAGATTCCTCACAAGCTGCAGACACTGATATGGGATCTTACTGCTGTACTTCTACTCTATTAGGCCTTGTATCTCTTTCTTGTTGTTGAACTTTACTGTTGCCACATTGGATCCTTTGTGCCTTACCATTGAAGTACATTCTGTTCCTTGCTGCTGCTATTGAATGTTACATGAAGTCTGGCTTATCTGGTCATTTCCGTGAAGCCCCAACTGGACTTGGACATTGTGTGGCACATGTTGCATGGGGTGTGACGTTTACCACCCATCTGGGTGCAGCTGAGTTCTTTGCTGTTTGGATGAGCTAGTGCATTGAATGGTTCAGGTTGTTCTACAACTTGGCCCTGATAGTTGGCCTGCTCATTTGATACACAGATGTGCTGTTTGAAAGTCATTTGTGTCTTATAAATGGCACAGTTGATTTTCTTTAATACTTTATTGAAGTACCAAAAGTATGGTACTTGGTGCAGTAAAAAAGCGCCCAGAAAATAAACTGTGCCATTTATAAGACACAAATGAGGTTAACAACCACACTCAGAATCTTGAATGTCAGTTTGTAACTGATGTCAGTAATACTTCACATTTCTGTTTAATATGCCGAAACTGGATTGGATGTGAGTCTGGTTTTAATACGCTGTAAATAACTCTGGTTATATCCATAACGCAGCTTAATACCAGGAGATACATAAAGCTAAATTAATGAAACAATGATTGAATTAGATTGGATGTGTGTATAGACACATTCATACATACATTTATATTGTATTCATAGATATACATACATATATACGTACACATACTTTCTCTCTGTAGCCCTGAGTTAACACTTAAAACTGGCTTACAGAGAAATTTTGAATTAAAGATTGTGGCTTTGGTCATATATAACAAATATTTAATAGTAGTAGGCGTCCAATTTTTGATACCGTCCAGGCATCACAGTCAGGTATATGGTATTTTGGCTGCATTTTAAAAAGCACCACTCTTCCAGTATTTTGAAATCCCCCAAAATACAGTTTTGCCAAAAGGAAATACCGTGGTGTGCTGTGGTGTGCCATTATACTGCTAAGCTTGAATATTAGTTCTACTGATAAATGCATTGATAGTTCAAAAATGTGAAAATAATTTCAAGTACAAACATGTAAGTGGAGTTGGTGTGTATTAACCCTTACATAGTTGATTAAAATGCACATATAGGAATAGATAAGTGGAACTGTAATTCAGATGCCTTATTGAATTCTCGGTTCTTAAAAATTTAGAACGTTTCAAATTTGGAAACTACTTCTCACTACCCAGCCTTACACACCAATCCTCACTCCCTCCTGGTGTTTTACGTGATATACAGTGATGGTTCATAAAAATGGCAAGTCGCACTGGTGCGCCTAATTATAAAATTTAATCGCAGTCTGAACCCTTATACTAGCTGATAGCTGCAACTTCCCCTCTGGAAAAACTGTAGGCCTCAACACTGACGCATTTGAATATTTTACATTATTTAATGACATTTTTTTGGCATATGCGTTAATCCAAAGCAGGGTCAGCCAGTCTCTGGCCTTGCTCAAGGGCCCAACGGTGAAATCACTTCACTAACCATAGAATTTGAACTGACAGCCTTCCAGTCATGGGCACAACCCTCAGAGCCACGCACCATGCACTAATATAAACTGTTGTGCTATGCCGGAACTGGTATTTACCTGGGTCGACTTCAGGTATACTGTTGTGGCTAGGTCAATACAAATTTGCCCCACCCTCTGATACCTTTTGTGTTCTATTGTGTCACTGTGTATAATTGCTGGTAAAAAATAGTTAAGCTTGGGAAATAAAATAGTCTTGCTTCAGCAAAGACATGTCCAGCAAAGACATGACTAAGTTCCACAGATAATGAGGACTGTCTGACAATCTGTTTGTGTGCTTCAACAGTTGCTGATGTTCTAGTTCCCAGACCATCTTCTACAAGTCTGAAGTAACTGGATTTATCTTGCAAAACCAGTCCCAGGACAGCTTGTTTTCTCTTAACAGTGACAGTGTTAGATCCTGAAAAGAGAAGTTGTCCTTCACATTATTAAATAAATTCATGTAAGACTTTTCATTTAAGTTTATTTTAATGGTAGCTATTTGTGCAAATTGTCTACAATATAAAGTAGTATTTAACTTGTGATTTATGAGTTACATTCATACTTTTACTGTGGTCGAAAATTGGAATTCTAGTGGAGAACCTTCAGTAATCTTCAAGCATGTGACATATTTTAAGGAACTTTGGGTTCTAAGGAACTACAGAATTCCCCAATTAGATTCACATTTTCTGGAATATAGCTAATCTATATTCCAGAAAATTTCCTTTCGTCCTTGACACTTGCTGGCTTAGTTACAAAACTTAGAGCATGGTGTGAAGTTCTGACTTGCAGTCATTTGCGTGATATCAGTCAGCTGCTACACACCTTTTCACCAGTCTGGGCATGTGCTATGAGCTCTCCCTGTGTGACTTGATATACAGAAAAGCCCAAAGCCAGGCACTATTGGGAAAGTTGGTAGGACATGCTTGTGAAAACCACATTCCCTTTGTTCTCTAGTTTGTGCTGGAAAGTGTGACTGCCACCTGTTGAGCTTTGATAGTCATGATGGAGTTGTCAGTTGGCTTTTGGATGTGTTCTGTTTTGCTGTGGTTAAGTTGTGCATCTTCGCATGTGTGCCTGTGCTGTGTGGGGGAGGGTGTCGGGGTTTTCAGCAGCCGGGGAGGTTGTGAGCTGCAGAGGCAGTCGTGCAAAGGGGAAGCTCGTGGGCTGCCTGTTGCAGTCACGTGGACTGCCTGTTGAGCACTGCACTTGTAGCCTGCTCCCTGGAGCGGTGTGACGGAGGCAGGCAGGCAGGCAGGCAGACACAGCCTGTCATCCTTTAAAAAAAGAAAAAAAGATAGCAAAGGTGTGGGCTTGAGCGTCGGCTTAGGTCTTGGCATGGCCAAGATGGTGGAAAGAGAGCAAAATGAAAAACAAAAGGTAGGCTGACACCTAGTGTAACGTTTGCTGTTTGACATTGCTGTCCTTAACAGCAACTATTTAAGCAGGGTGTTGTTTCACTGCTACTGGCTAATTATAGTGCTGGGCAGTAACCTATGATTTTAAAACTATTTTTGCCCTGGCTTTGGTAATGCTATTACTGACCACTTGGGTTTGAGTGCAGGGGGAATAGAAAATTTGGGTGAGGCACGTCTCCTTTTTTTTGTGCTGTCTCCCCATCCTGGGCTCTGTTTGATTACAGCTGAAATGGCAGCTGGTCTGTCAGATGATGTGTCTGCTGGGACTCCAATAGAGAACTGGGTCGACGGCACCAGTAGTGCTCAGGCAGTCTAGGTAGTGTCAGTGTACCAGAGCTTTGAGTGGGTAAATGAAGCAAGGTGTGGTTCCCTCACCAAAGCCTGAGGCAGAACAGAGAGTTGTGCTTCTCGTCTCTTGGCTGGGCTGCATCACTCCCCAGGCTTTGGGCTCTTTTTTTCCCTTCAAACTGGAATAATTGGCTAAAAGGTCTTTCAGTCTGTAATTTGAGAGGACCCTAGCGTTCAGGGTTGCTGCTGTGGCTGTAGGTGACGCAGTGTGCCTCCAAACTTTCTCTTTGCTGAGTAACATTCAGTTGATGAATCAGTTGCCTAGAGACCCAAAAGGTGCTGCTAGGAAACCAACTATAAAAGGTCATGCAAACGTTTTGAAGATAGATGTTAGTCATTCTTTACCTGCCCTAGATGTTGGGCACATCACTTTTTGTTGTGTGACTGTGTCCCAGTAAATCGACTCTCATGCAGTTCAGTTTTACAGTATGCGAATTGAATGAAGCACCGTCATATGAGGTCTTCGGCCTCTTTTGTTCCAAATTGGTGAGCGAATGTCTGTCATCTCTTACATTAGCTTGTCATACTGCTGAAAACTGGCTAATGGGCTTATCTTGGTATATGGGTTGTCAACAGCAAGAGTGTTGCTGAAATTTGTTGCTATCTTATGCAATCTCCCAAGCAAATATTACAAAATGAGCAAGCTTGGATAGGCGAAAAAAAGAAACTTTGCTTCCATTACATTTCCAGTACAACACTGGAAAGCTGCATTTCAGAAGCTTACTTGGGCTTTGCCCATTAAAGCATCTAGTATGGCATGAGCTCTTATGAAAATGTCAAATTATCTGGCTGGCTGTTTTATATTTTAATGTACAGTTTTCAGTTACTTTTAATCAGCCTCTCTGGAGAACAAATGAACTGTGTAAAAATGCTGTAGACATTATACTCGGCATGTAAAGCTGGGTATTAAGTTATCTTTCAGGTTTCAAATGCAGCCGTTGTTGACTTCAGTGTGGTTGCCCCTCTGTCGGTTGTGAATCCTAAACAGTAGTTTTCGCATGAGGTTTTTATGGACCTGGAAAGTTGTGTCTTGGTTTCATCTTTATAATGGGTATCTATAAAACACTTGCAATGTGCTTAATGATAAACTGACAGCAGGGTGTCTTAATCCATCGTGCAGCAACATGCTGCATTTTAGCTTCATGAGTGAGTGTGAACACTTGGCCCCAAACAGAAACATTTCTTTTCATTTTTGCAGTGTGCCTTTTATAAATAACTAGAATGACACCTTCTTTCAGCGACACATACTTCAGCAGCTGTGCCACCAAGCTGAGGTTGAGCCTGTTCATTGCCAGATATGCTGCTATGTTTGAACGCGAGTGACCTGTTTTAAATTAGATGTTAAGTTGTGTGTTTTACTTTGATGCCAAATTCAGTTATGCAGATGTTACATTTCCTTTCTTAAAAATGTTTGTTTCATGAACATTACAGCTAACATAAACTGCAAATGGCTAACAATGTTATTTAATGCAATGACATATAAGCACAGAACTTACAAATCTCACGCCAGCATAGACAATGTATTGGCTTGATAGTAAGTTGAACAGGATATGATGAACATATGTCTTGATGATTCTGTCTGTGTGATGGACTTTTTGAACCATCTCTTACTGTGCTGATTTATCCATTTCTCTTCCACAGGTATGGCCTCACAAGTCTTGGTCTACCAACCACATGTTTATCAAACCCAGACAAGTGCCTTTTGTAGTGTGAAGAAACTTAAAGTAGAGCCCAGCAGCTGTGTTTACCATGAGAGAGCCAACCCACGGACCTATTTGAATGGTAGATCCTTCGGCGTTGTGCACTCTACGAATATCGTTCCTTCATTTCAGAGAAAACACTCAGCGGCTGGGCGGAACTTTTCATTGCAAGCCTTGAGTGACGTGAGAGGCGAACAGGACAAAGGAGTCGGGCTCACCTCACAGTGCAAGGGGGCACAGCAGGAGGGTGTGGGGTGTGGAGGAACAGCGGGGAGGGTGAGCGGACGGGACGGGGGCACCGCTGGCCAGAGAGGCATAGGTGACAGCAGCAGCAGTGGCTGGACGAACTGCGACGAACGGAAAGAGCAGCAGGAGGAGGACAGCGACGAAGGTTTGAACTTGACAGAGAAAGCCCAGCGATGTGGGCTGAAACGTAAGAGCGAAGACTTGGAGAGCCGCCGAAGCGCCATGCAGATAGTGGAGGATCTGTCCATGTTGCCTGCGATGTTGCAAACGAATGTGGGGAACCCAGCGGCAGGGGGTGGGCCCAAGCCAGGTGGGGGAGGGGCTGGGCCCGGGGGTGGTGAAGGGGATTACCAGCTGGTTCAGCATGAGGTTTTGTGCTCCATGAAGAACACCTATGAGGTGCTGGACTTCCTGGGCCGGGGCACTTTTGGGCAGGTGGTCAAATGCTGGAAGCGTGGTACAGGTGAGGTCGTGGCTGTGAAGATCCTGAAGAACCACCCGTCATATGCACGCCAGGGTCAGATCGAGGTGGGCATCTTAGCACGGCTGAGCAGTGAAAACGCTGATGAACACAACCTGGTGCGTGCCTACGAGTGCTTCCAGCACCGCAGCCACACCTGCCTGGTGTTCGAGATGCTGGAGCAGAACCTGTATGACTTCCTGAAGCAGAACAAGTTCAGCCCGTTGCCTTTGAAAGTCATCCGGCCCATATTGCAGCAGGTGGCCACGGCCCTGAAGAAGCTGAAATCTCTGGGCCTCATCCATGCCGACCTGAAGCCAGAGAACATCATGCTGGTAGACCCGGTGCGTCAGCCCTACAGGGTGAAGGTCATAGACTTTGGCTCAGCCAGTCATGTCTCCAAAGCTGTGTGCTCCACGTACCTGCAGTCGCGGTATTACAGGTGGGTTTGTAGTTTGCGTTTGCTCCGAGCTCCTCCTCCATTCCTTCCTGCTTTAGTCGCATCTCTAATGGTACAGTGTAATTTTCTCTGTGGCTTTTCACCACTATTGCAGTTCTGAGTTTGATCACTTTTCTTTGATATAAACTTCCTTTTACCCAAATAGCATTTAAACTGCCACATACTGTTGTCCAGAAAGTTCCGAATCATTTGAATAACACCACTGATGGTCAAAAGCATATACTCATCTATCTATCTATCTATCTATCTATCTATCTATCTTCCATACCAGTAATCTAGTACGTGGATCTCTGTGAACCTGGAGCCTATCATAGGACAAAAGTGGGGAAAAACACTATACAGGATGCTGGTCCCTCACATGTTATTTTAATATGTAGTTTATGGTTTGATTGATTATGGGCAATTGTTCTGCTTACAGTGACTTATAATTGTATCCATGTTCCTACATAATTATTCTGTTCACTGTGGAAATGGTGAGACATTCAGTGTTTATCCTCATGAGGTTTAGAGCACTTTTAGAAAAAGGTGCTATCTGAGAGCAGTTTGTCAGACAAGACTTATTTTTGTGTTTTTGATAAGTTGTATTTTCAGCAGGAAATAAGACTTGATGCAAGCTGAGCATCTGTTGTGCTAATCGCTTGTAAGTTTGTAATAAGTCAGCCTAAGAATGTGCAAGAAAATATTTTCTTTGTCTTTGCTTTTCTGTGTATTAGATCTTTAGTGGTAATGTGCCAAAAGATGTGAGGAATGGATTATTTTTTAACCATTGAAATGCCTTGCATGCCATGAGCAGTTAACATGTTAAGCTGACTAAGTACTGAGTAATGACCTGCAGATTTTAGTATGAGCGGTGCAGCCAAATGTCTGTTGAGGATCAGAGTCACACCCAGGTGTCTTATATAACTGGTCAGCAGAGCCGATATGTTTATAGCAGCAGGGTCTCCTTTATTATGTCTTGCATATTTCTTGACTGGCAAATGGAAAATTCTTTGATTGAAGGGCCACTTCTATACTCACCTATTTCCTTTTAAAGTATTTCATGCCTTGTGTGCAACCAAGAGGGGTGACACATTTGGCTGTACCAGTGGCGTTGCTGGGTCACGTGTCTCTCGAGGTTTGCAAGGCCAGCCACCTGCAGCCATACCTCTCTTGCTCCGTACCCTGTTGCCTGGGGGTAAGAGCCGTGGGCATGGGCCTGCCTTTGGTCTGGCTTATGGAATACTCTGAATGATCGGCGTATCAGCAGAGCTCTGTGTCTTCAGCTCGTCAGCCTCTGTAGCTGCTCTGCTTTTCTGGCCTTTGCTTGTGGGGATTCCAGCTGTCCTCGCTTCGCCATCACTTCTTGTAAATGCCGTGTTTGTCAGGAAGTGGCATTTTTCCTACTTCCTGTATCTCAGAATTGTTCTCTGCAGCTTTTTAGAATTTCCTGCCTGTAATTAAGCCAGACTAACTGTAATTAAGGCCAGTCTTCATCCTGGGGAGAAGTGCTCAGCTGCTGTCTAGAGTAATATTACTCATGCTTTTGTTAAATTAACTACTAAACAAGTGAACAGGACTTTTTTACCCCCAATACTTACCTCTTCCAAACACCTGAGGGAGTTGGACTTTTCACATCTATTATACACTGTATAATGAAAAGTGTGTTAGCTTGGCTAATCTTTGACTTTTGTAGCGAGGTTATCAATTGCACGATAAAAAAAGGGTCCAGTGCACATTCTGAAGGTCAGATCTGTTTGAAATGGTAGAATGTCTGTGCCTTGCATTTAGCGTAGGCCCTTGAATCAGCAGTCTGCAATTAGCAACGCTAGTGTCTTGGCTAAAATGCATGTCTCTGGCGTCATAGGTGATTGGATTAAAGTAGCAAATGCATCATTTGGCCCAGGTTCAGGCTAAAAGGACCCAGGCGGCAATGCTGAATGTATTGGGTGGAAGTGGGGCACAGAGGCGCACTGGTTAGTAGTTAATTGGATTTTAATTCCAATTCCAATTTTGGGGTACCTACCATTTTCAAAACAAAATAATCAAGATAAAACGATTGTGCTGCATTTCATTTTGCAGTGATGCTCCTCTTTTGTCTTGTTATAAATCTAGCGTACCCCTTTTTTTTCTCAGTTAAATTTTATATTTATAATTTTGCCTTAAAATTTGTTTGAACTATGAGGCTTTCCCCTCTGGACCCAGTTCGGTCCACTATGGCTGAGGTTAATGTGTTTGATCCACCCGAGGGATAAGCAAGCTCAGCGTTTGAGGCCTCCATGGGGTGGTTCTGCAGTCCAGCCTGTGCGGGGTGACCCTGGTGCAAGTGCTCCACTTTTGGGGAATAAGCCATGTTACCAATTTGTACCAGGGTGCAGAGAAAACCAGGTGCATTTTATTCCTGGCAGTCTGCATGTGCCTGTCGAATGTGCCTATTCAGCAGCGCAGGGAGGTTTCCTGACATTAACACCTTAGGTTAGTGGTAGGATTGTGATGACACCCAGTCAGATCTACTAAATGGTTGTGAGTAACTTCAGCGATGGCAATGTTCTTAGCCTGCAGGCGTGGACCCCAGTGCCTAAACACATGACTGCTTTTGGGCAGTCATGAAAGTCGGGCTTTGCTTCTTTGCCAAGTAGCCATCGTGCATGGTTTTGTGCTGAGAAGAACAATCCCTCAGCTGAAGTATGGACCGTGTAGCAGATCAGCTTTGCCTACTGCTATTGATTAGCTGCTGCTAAGCTTCTGCCTGGTGTCAAGAATTGGGAGTGTAATGTGATCTGTTAGCCATCTAGTGTGATTAATATAGTCACCATGTGATGAGAAGCGCGTATGTAAAGTGTATTTATAGAGCGTTTTGCTGTTGGTGACGGTCACTCAGCTTCCTACAGGTATGGGGCATGTGGGTATTCCTGATCAATCCGAGCTATTATTACAACAGTCGTGTGTGTGTGTGGGTGTGGGTGTGGGTGGGTGGTGCTGGTGGGGGTAAGCTGATTTTATGATGCCGCATACCTGACCAGGTCCAGTTGCATGATGTCGTACAAGGTTTTAAATCTCATTGCCTTGGTTGGCTGTTTTGGTGAGTGGCTGTTTGAATGGCATGTGCTGCTAAGGTGTTAAGGGCAGGTGGCTGTGGACACCTACCTCCCAACATGACCCTTAAGCTCAAAGCACCGGTAGTAATGCTTTCCGCTGTGTGGGCCGAGGCTCTCCCTCAGTGTGAGATGGCTGCTTTGCTAATGCTCACTTTGATCCATCTTTGTATTTGAAACTTCTGAACCAACGTGACACCTGTAACTATACCTGTAAATAAATCATATCAAAAGTACTTTTATTGTAATAGGCTTAATCGTTCTCCCTTCTCAACACATACATTATTTTTCTGTTATGGTTTTACCCCAGACCGTACCGTACCACTACCAGAATCTCTGCACATATTGAGAAAATTTAGAGTCTGATTCTGCATCGTTATTATCTTGTAAAGGGATCAGTTCAATGTTTCAAGCCTAATATTGCTATCCAAAGTTTTTTTTTTTTTTTACACCCCATCAATTCTACTTCTGTTTAAGCCAACTAATTAGGCTATTTTGAACAAGTGACACTATCCTGTTTACTGTTTATATACATTGTTCATAATTTATTTATAATTTGCATTTCTACATAATTTTTTCAAATCTGGTAGCAAATATGCTGCATTCTGCATGTTTTGTGTGCTTGTGTTGTAATACTGATCATCAGTTAAATTTGAGCTGTAAACAGGAATGCATTTTGCTGAAATGTGAATGCTGTGGTGTAACAGCAGATATCAGTGGGATCTTTAAGTGAAGATTTGTGTGCCATCACAGGGTATACATGCTGCTCTGTACGTCTTGCATATGTTGTTTTATCAGTATCAAATGTGACAAACGTCACTGATCTCCCCGCTGTTTCTTTGGTAACGCGGACTGAAAACATAATTTGCCTGCTCTGTGAGACTCCTCTCAGTCTTACATTCCTCTGAGGTTTCTGCACATTTTGATCATGAACAGGAAGGATTCAGGCCTGGGGAATTGGCGTGTTTTCAAATGCAGGCTGGGCAGTTCGCTGTGACATGCACTGGTGGCTGTGGCTGCCCCTGGCCCCAGAGCAGAAAGCTACCACAGCCGCTGCCCCTGCACACTCGGTCCCCATTCGCTTGTTTCTGGTAAACGCAGGACCTTTCAGGAAATGACTCAAAAATAGAAGAGTACATTTGTACTTTGTAGCACAGAGAGGAAGTTTGGTGAAGCACGCAGAAGCAACTCAACATCGTCAGTTGTTGCTGTTCATCCACCAAGTAGCACCGCTAACTTTTGTGTGATGAAACTGATGAGAATACTTTCAGGATTACTTAGCAGTTCACCTTTTATTTACACTTCCTCAGTTTTATGTCAAGAATATCAGTATTTAAATGTCTTATATTAAATGTGTTATATTAGAAGCTTTATAAGTATCTTCCCTCTGAAATCTAAATGTATGACAGCTGTATTCAGGCAACTAATGCTACAACACAGAAGTCTATTTTTTTGGGTAGTATAAATTTTGCTGTGCCAAACTACGTGGCCTCAGCTATAGATTTCTGAACTTCTCTGTATCACATATGTACCAACTACATAGCAGCCCAGTGTACAGGGAAAAAAAACGTAAACAGGAAATGTGTGCTCTGTGCTGTATAATGTGTGCTGAGACAGAAATCTGGGATCTTTACAACTTGAAAAGAAATGTGTGGAATGCCATGTCTGCAGTTGTTTTTCTGCCTCCGACCTCCCCACCCCTTCCCCCCCGGTGCCCGCGTGCTTGATGGGGAATCGGCAATGTCGCTGCTGCACTGCCGGGGCCAGTGCATGAGCACACGAGGAGCTCCTTAAAATAGCCAATGGGAGGTGACCAAAGCCCGTGCACTACTATAGATGGTGATGCTTTCTGGCAGTCAGGGGGAAATAAGACAGAACTGAATGCTACTGAGGTCAATCAGCAGTTCAAGG